GAAGAGTAGGCTTTGTCAGCTGGGAATAAGGAAATACAACAACCTGGGGAACACACCTGACGGGTTAGTGCCAAGGTAATTCAGGCTGTTCTTAAAGCGGAAGACACTTCCTTGTTGTGCTGATTTGAGCAATTAGAATCTTGTTTTTGGGAAAATGCAGTCTGGTTTGGGGTCCATCTGCTTCCTTAAATTTTCAGTTAATTAGGTGCCATTTAGCATGAGTGACTCCATGTCTATTTGGTCTCTCTGTAGGGTCAACATGGTTAAGACCATGGGCGCCATGATCTTCACAAGTAGGGGGAATGGGCAGAGATTATCTCTAGCTTATAGACCGGAAACTGACAGAGAGGAGAGACAGAGAATAAGTTCCGAAATAATACAGCAGGAGGCAAAAGCACAACGGAACGTGAGCATTCAGCAACATGTGTGTTCCCTTCCACCCCTCTAGTTACTGCAGGCACGGGAGGGCCTGTGAGACAGCTGGAGGGACACAGGGACTGCACCGAGCGGGCGTCCACCGAGGAAGGAGCCTAGCCAGACGCTAGGCGAGATGGGAGGCCCTGAGGCCCTCCGCCCGTGCGAGATGGGTTTGGGGGTGCTTTGAGTGACAAGTGAGAGTGAGACTCTGCCACAGGACCAAGACCTGAGCAAGAACCGAAAACAAGTGACTCATGGGTCATGACATCTGCTGTTGGGGTAGCAGGTGGATATTTGTGAGGATATTTGTCCCGATTCTTGAGGCCCCAACACAGCCGCTGGAAAATACGGAATGAGATTAGGGAGAGGAAAAAAACAGGGGGTCGTTGGGGAGCACAGAAGGCCACGGGGTGGAATGGATGTCCAGCACCCTCGGAGCCAGTGGGATAGGGCAGCGCGGCGGCACTTTTTCCCGGAGGGTCTCAGGGAGTGAGCTCAGAGCGGCTCTGCTAACGAGTGTCTGGTCCTGGAATGCGAAGTCAGCACCTGACACACAAGGGAGCCGCAGAAGGCTAGGTGAGGCCAAAAAGATGCGAAGGGACTTCAGGGAGGGTGAAGAAGTGTGTGTGTGTGTGTGTGTGTGTGTGGGTACTGGGGACTGAACCTAGGGCCTTTGCATTGAGCTATATCACCAGCCCTTTTTCTAATTTTTATTTTCGGACAGGTCCTTGCTAAATCACCCAGGCTGGGCTTGAATTTGAGATTTTCCTGCCTCGTCCTCCCAGAGTGCTGGGATTACATATGGGTATGTGCCACCATAGGGGATAAGCAGATTCTTATAGGTTTCAAAATAAAATAAGAATCCCTAGTGTTAAAGTGGGAAAAAATTCAAAAACACTTCAGAGACATAAACTACAGTTTCATTGGTAAATCCTAACACTGGGGAATTTCTCCTAAACCAAAAATCATTGATGTGTGCGAAGATTTAGTTAACATTGTTGTTTGTATTGTGGAAGAAACGGAAATAACCTAAATGTCCTACAATAGGGGATTAATTGGGTAAATTTTCATTTATTCTTATAAAAGAAAATATGGACCCATTACAAATAATATTGCACATGTATGTTTAACAGCATATAAAGATTCTCATTATATATACATTAGACATATTATAGGTGATTATCTGTGAATTAATATAAAATTTTTGTTTTAAAGTACTTTTATAATGTTGCCTTCACAGGGTCAGCGCTGTCAATTTTTAAGTTGAAAATTTCCTCTCCCTTGCCACGTGAGGTGGTGCACACCTCTAATCCCAGCACTTGGGAAGCTGAGGCAGGAGGATCCCTATGAGTTTGAGGCTGACCTGGACTACATAGTGAGTTCAAGGCCAACCTGAACTCACGGTGAAGTGAGACCCTGTCTCAAAAAAAAAATTTTTTTTTCCCCTCTTCCTAATCTCATTCTGTATTTTCCAGGGGCTGTGTCCGGGCCTCAAGAATCGGGACAAATATCCACCTGCTACCCCAACAACAGATGTCATGACCCATGAGTCACTTATTTTCGGTTCTTGCTCAGGTCTTGGTCCCTGTGGCAGACTCTCACTCTCACTTGTCACTCAGAGCACCCCCAAACGCATCTCCCACCCCAGAGCCTCAGTACCTCCCATTTGGCTTAGCTAGGCTCCTTCCTCAAAGGCCATCCTGTCTGCTTGCCCCATCTCCTGGGAACCGGACTCGGCATCAATCAGCCAGAACACTCAATCCTGGCGCACCGGAACCGACGCACCCAGCCATTGCTCTGTGGCAGGGCAGCAGGGAGTGTGGACAGGTGAAACGCTGCATTGGTGTGCCTATTTATAGGTTGAGCAACTGGGGCTGCCCGGGAGAGACAGCTGGGTGAGGATGACACACCTGAAAGAGATTTACTTCTGAGTCAGCCGCTTTGGGGAGGTGAACGAAGCAGCGAGTCTGAAGGGCCGGAGGTGATGGAAAATGCACCCAGCCCGACCTTGCACGAGGTGTAGTTGTGAGCAAGAGTTAAGTTGCTGCCCTGACCAAGCGGCCTGGACCTGGACAGCGCAACCTTTGGCTAGGCTCATGGTCATCGCCAGCCCTGGGCAATTCCTCCATGTTGTCCATGACCTCGGGGCCAAGCTTTGGGGACCCAGGGGGGCCACCAAGATGGCAGTGGAGGAGTGCCCGTGCAAGGCCCAGAGCGGGTGCGCAATGGTCTGAGGCAGGGGCGACAGGAGGAACCACCGTGGCTTCCCGGAACTCAGGGATGCAAGGGAAGGGTGTCATGCTGATCACGGTTAGACCCGGGCAGGGGCCGGCAACCCTGAAAACCACAGGACTCGGTGCCTGCGCGGAACGCGGCGCTTACAAATATCTTTCTCCATTCACAAGCCAGAAGGTCGGGCTACTGGCATTTTGCAGCCCAGGAAAAGGAGGTCGCGTCCTTTGTCACCGTGCCCGCAGCTGCCAGGTTAGCGTTTCCTCTCCTGCAGCAGCCCCTCAGGCAGCGTAGGTTTTCTGGCTCCAACTTCTTGGGAGCAGGTGAGCGAAGGGGTGGGACGAGGCAGAGGCACAGTGAGGGCGGAAACCCTCCCTCCTGGATACCCGTTAGCAGGGTTGGGGAGCCAGGCTGGTGTTCAGGCGGCAGGTGCCCAGGTGACCTCTCCCTGCGCTCGGGAGCTAGATGCACCCGAGAGGGTGCGGAGGAGGGGGCCACGGGAGCCAGCAGGATAGGAGGCGGGCCGAGCGCGCTCGGCTTTCCAGGACAGCCTTCCCGCGGGCGAGCCGAGGGGGTGGAGTGGGCGCGCGCGGGGCGGGCCCTCGGTGGCCC